TGCTGGAATTGTGTCTCTCTAAAAGCGTGTCCTCATCTTCCTGGAACCTGGGGGTATGGCCTTTCTTGTAAACAAGGTCCCTACAGATTTAATTAAGGGTCTTGAGGGATTAGATAGATGGCTCAGCAGTTCAGAGCACTTGCTGCTGTTGCAGAGGACCCGAGTTGGTTCCTAGCACCCACATCAGGCAGCTCACATCCACCTGTAACTCTAGCTCCAGGGGATCTGATGCCCTCCTCTGACCTCTGAGGGTACCCACACATACCCACATAGGCACACAATTAGAAATAAACCTTAAATTTTAAAAATTTCAAAGACTTATTTTACATTTAATTATTTGTTTGTGTGGGTCTGTGCATGTGAGCACAGGTGCCAGCGAAGACCAGAGTCATGGGATCCCCTGGAGTTACAGGCAATCGTGAGTCGTCATTCCTCCCTCACCCCTGTGTGAGTGCAGGAAACCAAACTCAGTTTCTCTGGAAAAACAGTGCATGCTTTTAACCACCGAGCCATCTCCTCAACCCATAATCAGCCTTTTAAAAAGGAGTGTGGGGTGTCCCAGCTGGTATGGTGGTGCAATCCTTTAATCCCAGGACTCAGAGGCAGAGGCAAGTTCAAGGCCAGCCTGGTCTACATAGTAAGTTCCAGGCTAGCCAGGGAGGGGTCTGGAGATGAGCTCATTATGGATTAGGGTGGACATCAGATCCAGAGACCGGTTCCTTGGTTAGGAGCCAGGAGCCCCCTAAACATGAACCCCTGTGGAAGTTCAGGTCCCTTCTGTAACTTGGGGTAGTGTTGGAATGTCTGTGCATCCTCCCAGATGCTTCTCTGCACAAACACCTGACTCTGGCCTTCACTGGCACCTGTGCTCACATGCACAGACCCACACAAGGCGAAGCTGTGGAGATAATCGTCCTACTGTGCCTAGGGACACAAGCAGCGGTCTGTAGCAGCTTTGAAATACGCAGTTATTTTGCCATCTGCCATTTGTTGATTGTGGGACCAGAGGGTATTGACGGCTGTGTGAGCAGAGGAAAGAGGAGGATGAGGTCTGAGGCACAGACACAGAAGGCCACCAAGTGGGGGAGAATGGGACTGGAACAGGGTGGCCCCAAGTCCTGAGCTGCCTGAAGTGTATAGAAGATGGATGAAGCCAGAAAGAAGCTTCCTGGGGAACAGAGGCAAGAAACACGTGTGGGCTGTTTTTTAAAATTTTGGCACATGTGATGGTGCACACCTTTAGTCCCAGCACTTGGGAGGCAGAGGCAGGCGGATCTCTGTGAGTTCGAGGCCAGCCTGGTCTACATAGTGAGTTCCAGGACAGCTGGGGCTACGGGGAGACCCTGTCTCAAAAAAACAAAACAAACAAACAAACAAACAAAAAACCCTAAATTTTTATTTATTATGTGTATGAGTGTTTTGCCTGCATGTAAGTGCACCATATGCATTCAGTGCCTGCACAGGGCAGAAGACCGTGCTGGATGCCCCGGAACCAGAGTTACAGATGGTTAACTGCCATGTGGGTGCTGGGAACCAAACCTGGGTCCTTTGCAAGAGCAGCCAGTGCTCTTAACCTCTGAGCCATCTCTCTAGCCCCCTTACCTATGACTTTAAGCCAGCCAGTTTGTGACAGTTGGACAGCCCTGTGACTGGGATTTGCTCTGAGGTGGACAGGCTCAGGGGATACCCAGAAGCTGTGGCTGTGGAGACACGCCTGGCATTTGCAGTGTAAGATGGACCCTCAGTGATAGCACCCTGTGCCCTTAGTCTCAGGGTGGCTTCCTGCTGTGTAGTAGGGACATCTGCCCTCAGCTTCCATTGCCCTTCACTGAAATGGTCACACACTGCTCCCAGGTAAGCATTGAGACTAGCCCTGGAAGGATGCAGGGCTGTAGCCAGCAGGCAGAAAGTGAGGTCACACAGGGGTCTCCCTCATTGGCATGGGATGGTGCTCATCAAAGGGTCCTCTGCAAACACATGGGCCCCGGTCCCTGTCCTGGCTCTCCATACAGATCAGGACTTGGGGGCTTGCAGGCTTGGTGTGCAGCGGAGTTCATAGCCAAGGGCACCCAGCAGCTATAGCAGCTGTGCACAGAGCCTCAGGCCAGCAGCACAGGGCCGAGGTTATTTCTGAAGTTTGAAGGGTGCCCAGCAATGCAGGAGGCACTACAGGAGAGGCCAGGTGGGCGCTCAGAGCCCTCCCACTGTTACAGTTTTAATGTGTGTGGCATATACTTGGAATCCCAGTACTCAAGAGGCTGAGGCAGGAGGGAAATAGAAGGTAGCAGACCAGAGCAAAAGCATGGATGGCTGCCTAACCCCCATCTTGGCTCTCAGATTTTTTTTTTTAATGTACTCTTTATTTTATTTTATTTTGTTTTTTTGTCTTTTTGAAGCAGGGTCTCCCTGTGGCCCCAGCTGTCCTGGAACTCACTATGTAGACCAGGCTGGCCTTGAACTCACAGAGATCCACCTGCCTCTGCCTCCCGAGTGGGGGGTTAAAGGTGTGTGCCACCACGCCCCACCTTTATTATTATTTTATTTTATTTTATTTTTTGATCTTTTTAAATTTTTACTTATTTTTATTTTATGTATATGCATGTATTGCCTGCATGTAGGTAAGTGCACTCGTGTCATGCAATGCCTGCAGAGGTCAGAAGAGGCTCTCGGATCCCCTGGGACTGGAGTTACAGACAGTTGTTAGCTGCCATATGGGTGCTGGGATTTGAACCCGAATCTTCTGCAAGAACAACCAGTGTTCTTAATTGCCGAGCCATCTCTCCAGCCCCTTATTTATTTTTATTTTATGTATATGAGTGTATTTGCCTGCTTGTGTGTAAGTGCACCCGTGTCATGCAATGCCTATGGTCAGAAGAGGGTATTGGATCCCCTGGAACTTGAGTTACCTGGGTCCTCTTCAAGAGCAGCCAGTGCTCTTAACCACTGAGCAGTCTCTCCATCTCTGGCTCTCAAAATTTTAAGGGGGCCCATTCTTAGAAGTGGGGCTCCCATCTCTACCCTGGGCTTGATGCATAGGATCTGAGCAGGGATGCTGTGGTGTGGCCCCTTTGTCAATAGCTGTGAAGGTGGGAAAAGGGAGACATCCCACCATGTCATCCCTGAGCTCCCTGCATGGTGGCCAGGGATTGCAGTTGTTCTGTGGCTTCAGAAGGGCAAACTGATGGGTTTATGTGGTCAGTGTCAGAAACAGCAGCGACTTCATGATCCACGCTCCCAGTCCCTCCCTCACGAGCTCGTTCACTCCCCTCATGCATTGATTCACTGATTTGCTCATTTGCTTACTGTCACTCCTCTCACTTATCCCTGTTGGTGGCTCATCAGTTCCACCAACGGGTACCAAGGCTGACATGTCTCTCTCCCTAAGCCCATAGTCCCCATGGAGAAGCACGTCCTGTGCAGCACTGGCTTCTTTACCATAGCACTGGCTGTGTGAGGACCTGGTTGTGTGATGTCCCACCCACCTGTGTGACTCAGGCGAGGGAAAGGAAAAGTGAGAAGCGAGGCCCAGAATGGTTCACAGCCTCCCAGGTCACATGGTCTGTGAGGCTTGTCTCTACCATGGGGGCATGAGGAGTGCATAGCAGGGACTAGGTCTGTGGAGGACACATTCCTGGGCAGAGTGGGAGGTGGAGGGCCCCTCCCCACATAGTCACTCCCTTTATTCTAGTTTGTTTCATCTTTTAAAAAATTATATTTGGGTCTGGAGAGATGGCGCTGTAGTTAAGAGCACTGGCTGCTCTTGCAGAGGACCAAGGTTCAGTTCCCAGACCCCATATGGCAGCTAACAACTACCTCTAACTCCAGGGGATTCAGCACCCTCTTCTGGCCTCTGCAGGTATTGCGCACATGGTGCACTTAACATACAAGCAGGCAAAATACTCATACACATAAAATAAAAATAATAAGATATTTTAAAATTACATTTACTCGGAGGGGCTGTGCTACAGCACATGTGGAGGTCAGACGACAACTTCGAAATTCCGTTCTCTTCTTCCACCATGTGATTTATGGGGAGTGAACTCAGATTCAGGGCTTGGCAACAAGCTCCTTTACCTGCTGAGCCATCTCACTGGCCTGTTTCATACTTTGTGACTGCTGGAACGGACACCTTGGGGAGGTGTTGATGGGCAGATCCAGGAGCACAGGGACTTCACAGTATGGAGCCAACAGGCGCCTAAGACTCAGAGCGGCTCCTCTTTCTCTGCTGTGCTGCAGCTCACAGGAAACAGCTGCTTACCTGGGTGAGGTGCTGGGCATGCAGCCAGGTGGAGTTCCACTTCCCCGTGTTGTCCGAGGCCCCCAGGAAGCTGGGGCTGGCGTGGGAGAGTGGAATGGCGGTGTGGCTAGCTGCCAGGAGTTGTTTGTGAGGGACTGCAAACCAGCCGTGTTGTGTACACAGTGTGGGACCCTAGCAACCAGCCCAGCCAGAGCAGATACCACTTGCATTTGTGCCCAGTCACAGCAGCCAGGCCTGGAGATGGGCACTAAGGATCCTGGTTGCTGAGGGAAATGGGTCATGCCAACCAAGTTGGACATCTACCAATGTCCCCTACAAGTCACTAGAGCCATCTCTCTGCCCCCACCAGGCAGTGTGTCCCAGGTCCCCATGCAGCTCTGGAGTGGGATGCTGCTCAGAGGTATGGTAGACCTGCTCCATTGAGGCCCCAAGTAGCTGTGGTTGGGGGCTTGGGCAGGACCCTCGAGTAGTCAGACTGGGTCTAGGGGATGAGAGAGTTACATGGACTGTGGGAGAAGTTTCTGGCCAAGGAGCTGTGTTTCTACCAGGCAGCTGGTCCATAAGCTCAGTCATGAACTTCTTCCCCAGTGTGCTGCCTGTTCAGGGAAGGCCGCCCAGGGTGCCCTGAGTACCTGGGGAAGTTGAAGTCACAGGGTCCCTATGTGGACCCCCCCGGATTCTTTGGGTGTAGGTGCTGTGGAGATACACCCCTTGACTTGCAGCTGGCGGCTTTTCTTGTGCAGCTTCAACTGCAAAAGACCCAGTACTTGCAGCTGGGCCCCAGTCGCGGCCAGTACTACGGCGGCTCCCTGCCCAATGTGAACCAGATCGGAAGTGGCACCATGGATCTCTCCTTCCAGGTGAGTACTCGCCTTCCTTCTCCAGGGAGAACCGCCCCCCCCCAGTCCTGTCTCAGCCTCCTCTAAACACAGATTCCCACAGGCTCAGCTGTCCCCTCTTCTTACCCACTCCTCCTGTCTCCAGAGCCCAGAGGAATCTGAGCATCCCAGCCAGGTTTCCTCAGCTCCACAGACCCCCACAACCCACAGACCCTTGTAGCCAGCCCTCCACCTGGCCCCTGTGTGCTCAGCCACTGCACCTGTCGCTCATACTCAGAAGCGCTTGGGGCCTTTGGGGCTTGGCTCTGGCCGCTTCACAGATCTACAAGCCCGGCACTTCTCCCTGGCTGCCTGACCCCACTTGTCTGCAGATGTTTCTTGGCAGAGTTCCACACCCAGCCTCCTGACTCCCCCAGGCCACAAGGCGGCTGTCAAAATAACATAGATAAGAGCTGTGTCCTCTTCTCATAACCCGGTCTGCAGGAAAATGGGGGTGAAGTCAGGTGGGAGGGTGCCAAGCCAGGTCTGGACTCTGCATGGGCAAGACCCTCCAGCAGTGACGTACCTGCTACATTGCTGTCAAAAATCCGTGTCCCCAAGACTGGGCAGGCTCCAGAGTCATCCTCTCCTCCCCACTGGCCACCATTGACATAAGGCAGTGCTGGAGGATGCTGGGTTGGTCCTGGGGCAACGTGACCTGCAGAGTCCCAGCCCCGTGGCCCTCTGACATCACTGGCTATCTGCAGAAGGCTTCTTGGGGCAGGTGTTTGCCCCTCTGCCTCTCCCAGCTCCTCTTCCCCAAAGCATCCAAGCATCATCTGGCTTGGCCCTGCATGGGGATGGGCCTTCTCAGTTGGAAGGGACAGCGGCCTGTACTGGGCCTGTGTTAGCCCAGGACCCACCCTTCCACCGCGGCTCAGAGTGTCGATTCTTTGCATTTTCAGCACAGCGGATTTCTGGGGGAGGCCCTGGCAGCAGCACCGGTTTCTCTGGTAATTGAGCCCCCAGGCTGAGACCTTGGCAGCCCTGGTGTTAGCCTGTAAGACCCCGACTCCTGCGTGGTGCCAGGTGACCCGAGTATCCCACATGACTGACCCTGTGGCTGTCAGGGAGGCATCCCCTCTGTCCACCTATGTCAAACGGATCTGCTAGGCAACCCCATCTCTGGAAGTGCATATGGGGGCGTCTGAAGCCCCCCAGACTCTTGGAGTCCTGGGGCAGATGTCATGTGCACATATCCTGATCTGGGGTCCAGTGCAGCAGAATCCGAGCATGCTCCCCAAGCTGCATGGGCCAGCACTCCAAACATGCACATGTGAAAGCACTCAGATCTCAAACACAGTTGGCAGGCAGGGGCTAGAGAGCTGGGAGTGACCAGGGAGAGGTGGGCAGGGTTTCAAGGGCTGGACAGGGCCTAAAAGATTAGAAGGGGCTTAGAGAGCTGAACGGAGTCTGAAGGGGCTTAGAGAGCTGAACGGAGTCTGAAGGGTCAGCGGGGCCTGGAGAACTGGGCAGGGTTTGGCTGATTGGGCAGGGCCTTGTGTGATGGATGGGGTCTAAAGAGATGGACAGGGCCCAGAGAAATGAATGTGGTGTGGAGATTGGGCAGGGCCTAGAGGGCTAGGAGGGGCCTGGTGTTCTGGGAGAGGCCTAGGGATCTAGGGGGCACCTAGAGTTGATCAAAGGCTGCCCAACTTCACTCTCCTGCTGGCTGTGCTTCAGCTGCCTCAGTTTCTCCTCTGTGCTTATAGGTAGCTCAGAGAGATGGCTGGCCCCCACCTTCCTGAGATGAGTTTCATCACTGCTCGCAGCATTTCTGCGAGTGTAAAAGTACAGAAAGCCCCACACTAGCAGCCTTCTGGGTCACGGACTTGGCGGTCCTCATACGGCAGCCAGCCCTTCTGGTGGCCACTGCAGCTTTTCTGGGGAGCAAAGCCCATTTGAGTATCAGAATGCGTTTTTGCTTTGTGCTTGGGAAACAAAAAGACCCAGGGCCCAGGTGACCAGGCAGGGAGATTCACCACATCTAAGCCTGGCACAGGCAAAGCTCACCCCAGCAGAGCAGCAGACCCTGGTGGTAGCCCTGGAGACTGGGAGGCTGACCTGGGGCCTTGTGCCAGCCCAGGTGCTGGTAAGAAATCCTATCCGGCCAGGCTGTAGCCCCAGAAGGTGCCTGTGCTTGGCTCTGGGTGGTGCCTGGATGAGAGGCTGGGGGTGGGAGCAGGAGAGGGGCCAGGGCTCAATTCAGAGCAGCTCTGGGCTCTACCAAGATCCTCTTGGGAGCCAGCACCGGCCAGGTGGGCCCCAAAGCAGCTCAGGACTGGAAGCCCCGGGGGGAGGGGCTCTCTTGGCAGGCCCCTTCAGAGATGATGTAAGTGGGGACAGGAGGCTGGCCAGGCCCACGGAGAGAGGGCGGAGGTCTGTCTGCACCTGGCCACACTGGGGAGGGCTGCTCGGCTGTCCGCGCTCCTGGCATTCAGGCTGAGCTTGTGCCGCCCTGCCTGGCCCAAGCATGCCAGCTGCACTGCACGCCTCTCACCCATCCTGGGACACCCCCACTGGGTCTTGCACCCTAACTCCATGGCTCGGCAGGAGCTGGGGCTGCTGGAGAAAGCCTGTAGATTGGCCACAGAGTATCTCCAGGGCAGGGTCCCTGAGGGCAGAGCTGGGTGACCTCAGGTCATAGCCAGTATCCTGTGTTTGGGTCTCCCTCTCACCCCTTGTTTCTGTTTCCTCCTGTTTCTATCTCCTTCCCCCTCCTGTCCCCATCCTTATCCCCAGACACCCTTTCAGTCCTCAGGCCTGGACACAAGTCGGACTACACGACATCATGGGCTGGTGGACAGAGTATACCGAGAGCGTGGTAGGCTGGGCTCCCCGCACCGGAGACCCCTGTCTGTAGACAAGCATGGGCGGCAGATATCCTTTTTCTGTGGGACAAGGAGGGGCAGGCCTGTGTGCAGTTGCTCATCAGGCTCTGGGGGTAGAACTGCCCACACTGTTGGCTGTGGAGATGGAATCAGGACAACCTTGGGAGCTGCCGGGAGGAAGCCAGACTGTCTGGGCCAGGCGTGGGGCCAAAGGGCAGAAAAAGGAGTTCAGGAAGGTGATACTAGACCGCAGAGGGCTGGGATACCTCGTGAGGCCAGGAAGGGAGTGATCAGCAGCACAGCCTTTGAGGGCATCAAGTTGGGGGCCACCCAGCCAAGGCAGCTGTATAGAGCCAGGCCCAGAAGGGCAAAAGTTTGGGTCTACACATGAAATAAAGTTATGGGTGGATGGATACCTGCCAGGGTCCCCTTCCTAACTCTGCTGACCACAACCAGGTCCCCCTCACCAGTACCCCCCAAACTCTCAAAGATGGAACTGCATGCCTGCTCCCTCCTTCTCTCTTCTGAGCCCTTGGCACCGAGAGCTGCCCTGCCGGCGGGTCATTTTGAACCCTGCCTCCCAACGGACCTCTTCTTGGAAGACATGGGAGGATTGTGCTGAGTGCTAGGTGAATGGGGCCGGGCCATTGGGGAGCCACTACACTGGGGGCTGTGCCCAGCCAGGCAGGAAGCCCCCCCACCAGCTGTCTGCAGGCTGGAACTGACCTGAGAGAGGCTGCTCCTAGCAGCCTGCCCCCTGTCTGTGCACCTAGTTTCCTGTTCTGTGGCCAAGCGTGTACATGCAGACCAGGTCAGAGCCACAGAGCAATCCCCTTAACTTACACACGCTGACAGCTGCCCCTACAGCACCGTGTACCTCTCACCACCCGCGGACACCAGCTGGAGGAGGTCAGTGTCAGTGGGGTGGGAATCCTTTAGACCTTTATCACGGCTGTGCATGAAGATTCAGGGCACAGTTATTGAAAAATGATCAACCTCCAGAATGTTCCAAAAGTCAGCTCTCTCTGAAATACCAAGGGCACAGCTTCAGGAGGCGTCAGAGCTTCTATCTCTGTCTTCTTCCTCCTCCCCTCCCTCCTCCCCTCCCTCCTCTTCTCCCTCTTTCCCTCCTCCCCTCCCTCCTCCCCTCCCTCTCTCCACCCTCCCTCCATCCCTCCTTCCCTCATGTCCTTCCTTCCTTTTTTTGTTCTCCAGGTTT